AGAATTCCTCAGCCAGCAAAGCTGGCTGAGGAATTCTGGGGGTTGAAGTCCACAAGTCTTAAAGCTGCCAAGGTTGGAGACCCCTGTCCTAGACCATCATCCCCATCCATCCCCGAATACAGATAGTCCTCGACTTACAACTGTTCTCTGAATCACCATTCAGCGTTACAACGGCACTAAGAAGAGGACCATTTTTCACAGTTAACACCATTTTGACACCCCCCATGGTCACGGTGATGGGAATTCAGCCGCTTGGCAACTGACTCCTATTTATGAGGGTTGCAGATAGTCCTCAAATTGCAACTGTTCATTTAGTGATCATTCTAAGTTAAAAGGGCACTATGATTGTTTTTTCACACTTAATGGCCATTGCAGCATTCCCTCCATGGTCACATGATCAAAATCTGGAGGTTTGGCAACTGACTCCTGTTTATGATGGTTGCAGTGTCCTGGCGTCACGTGATCAACTTTTTGTGACTTTCTGAGAGTCAATGGGGAAGCCAGATTCCACTTAACCACATCACCAAACTTAACAAATGCAGTGATTCACTTAACAACTGTGGCAAAAGTTGTAAGTGGGACAAAATTCACCTTAAAATGTCTTGCTTAGCAATAAAAAATTTGTGCTAAAATGTGGTGATAAGTTGAGGACTACCTCTAGGGCCCAGCTTCAAGAGCAGGGGTCATAAGCAGTTAATGGAGTAAGAGTTGGAGGGGACCTTGGAGGTTGTCTAGCCCAACCCCCTGCTCAATCAGGAGACCCTATGTCATTCCAGACAAATAACTGTCCAATTTCTTAATAGCCTCCAGTGATGGGGCACACACAACTTCTGGAGGCAATTCCTAATTCATTGTTCTCATTGTCAAAAAATTTCTCCTTAGTTCTAGGTTGGATCTCTCCTTGATAAGATAACCCTTACTTCCTAGGCTGCCTTCAGGAGCTTTGGGGAATAGGTTGACCCCCCTATTGTGGTCCAGCAGCAGCAGGTGCAGGCAGCTGAGGTCTGGGAGAGCGAGGACTCAGACGAGGGGCCTGCGTGTGATGCAGGGATGGGGCCAGGACCATCAGGGAGTGGAATGCTGCCTTGGGAGATTGTGGAGGCTGGCAGCAGTGAGGAAGAGGACCCCAAGGAGCCTGTGCCCAATGCAGGTGCATGCAGGGCTGCTCAAAGGAAAGAGCCGCTGCAGCACGGACGAGTCGGGAGTAAGGTTGCAAGGTAATGGCCCCTCCCTTAAGAGATAAAAGCCAGCTGAGAAACCAGAGTTCTTTGCAGGAAGCAAATAAGTTTTTCCACTCAAGCCTTGTGGACGTTCGGAATATCTTGGTTGGTGTTTGGAGACTCTTTGTGTTTGAAATATTTCTTAGTAACTTTTATCTAGTGTACTTGGCAGCCATGCACAACCTTGGCAAGGCTCATTCTTATCAGAGACAATTAGTTTGAAACAGCCTTTTAACCGTGAAGGAACAGAATTCGTAAAGAATCATTAAAAGGTTTTGCTATTACCTCTGTTTCGTGTTTGTTTCCTTGGAACAAGGTTGGGTCAGAATAACCCCTTTTTGTGGCAGCCCCTCAGATATAGGAACACTGCTACCATGCCACCCGTAGTTCATCAAACTGGACATACCCTATTCCTGAAACCATTCTTTGTGTGTTTTAGTGTCTCCTAATCATATTTGTTGGTCTTCTCTACTCTCTTTCTAGAGTCTCAACATCTTTTTTTACATCATGGTGACCAAAACTGAATGGATGGGCAGTTATTGTTCTCAAGGGGCCATATAAGAAATAAACAATTGTAGAGGCTGCTGCCACCACCCCTTGCACTGCTGCTGCTACTGCTTGCAGCAGAGGGCTGGATAAGGACAACCAAAGGGCCAAATATAGCCCACAAGCCTTAAAATGCCCAGGTCAGCTCAGGAGTATGTGCCTAATATCCTTGTGACTCCCTGAAACTTGCCCTGGAGGCATGAAAGTAAATCCACAGAGCAGGCAGGGCAATTTCTTGGATGTAGCGCCACTGGGAAATCCCAGTCTGTAGGCTGGTCTAAACCTGAACTGCTATCTCAAAACAGACCACTTCTGTGTTGTAATGAAGAAGAAGAAAAAACATGGCTGCATCCATGAAATCATCCAGATTTGAGCTGGGTTTAAAGGAGCCTTTAGTATCAGCAGATAGAGCATCTCATTCAGCCTAGATGTACTCTGAAGCTAAGCAGTTTGGAGTGTTTTTTTTTTTTGTTAGGAATCACCAGGAAATTTTGGCCATAGAAAAGAGGGGGAACCCTTGGAAAACGACTGCCGCAAAACATGTCTGTGTTTTTTTGCATAAAAAAGTCAATTTGAGGGCGTCTTTGTTGTCTTGCATAGCGGAGGTATATTTTCTTCTCTTACTCTGTGCTACAGTTTGTAGGCGAAGTTGGCTGGATTCCCAAATCTATAATTGGTTGTCAATCCCAGCAGTTTCATGCCATACATCAAGACAAAACTATACCAGTCCCACATGGTTTAGAAGTGTCATTTGTGAACTCAATGCCAATTTAATTTTGCAAGGAAGCCCCTTTTTAAGAAGTATTTGAGGTTCAACTAATATCCACAGGGGGAAGGCATCGCAAAAATTAAGATAGTTGTGACATTAATTCAAACCCTGTTCTTTTGCATGTGTCACATTGCATGTGTATGTAGTCCTCTACTTAAAACCATTTATTAGCAACTTTGAAGTGGCACTCAAAAAATGACTTGCACTTATCATCACTGCCGTATTTTCAAAATTTGGGTACCTGGCAACCAGCATGTATTTGTGATGGTTGCAGTTTCTCAGGTCACTGTTTGCAACTTTCCTAGTTGGCTTCCAACAAGCAAGATCAATGGAGAAAGCCAGATTCACTCAATAACTGTGCTTCACAAGGACTGTGGTAAAAAAAGGTCAGAAAATTGGGCAAAAATCATAAACATCTTTCTTATCAATGGAAATCTAGTCTCAAGGGGGTCATAAATCAAAGACTACCTTTATGTATAATTATCATACTAGCTACAACTTCCATCTTGACTTCTGTTAAACCCTATGCCCCACCTGTGGATTCCTGTGAGTTCAGTGCAGCAAAGATATTTTCCAAATAGAATTCATTGTATTAAACATGGTTGGATTTGCCTAAGTGTTTCTCTTTTAAAGAATATATAGGTACTGCATATGATGGGTCCACATAGTTGATTTTCATGTTTAATTACTCACATCCCCATGGTGAAAATAAACATCAAATATTTGATTGCATGGGTGAGAAGAAAAAATTACGAACAGCCGGTAAGTGGCAATAAAATGTGAAAGATCTTCAATTAAAGCTGAAATGTAGTAATAGCAATTGCCAAACACTACTCTCCTAAATGGATACTTGCTATCTTTATGTGTGCATTTCAGTTGTGAAATTTGATTAGTTTTTAATGTTTGAACTTCACCATCACTTAACTGTTTCCAACCTTCTTTCATATGTACAATTTGACTTTTCCACTCCTGTATTTATCAACTGAGAACATTTTTATTCATCTGATGGAAATGGAATGTAATCCTAATGTTAAAATATGCCACATTAAATGTATTGATCTTTGAGTGTATCAAGTATATCTGATCAAAATTATCTTTACACTTTAAAAGCTATGAGATATTTCCCATTAACTTAGTACGTTACCAAAGTAATTAAAAAATTAGTTGCAAAAAAAGCCATTCAGGTTTGTGAAAGCTACAGTATGTGTGAGAAAAATGTGTGCCTTATAGAGGCAACATGTTCCAGTTTTCCAATACCATGTAGTTAATGAAAATTATATGTCAGCTATTAAATCAGTTTAGAAATCACTGACTATAAGAAAGTGTGATTATTCTTTATCTAAATCATGACATTTTTAAGTTCTTCCATCAAACTAGAGATAAAATGAGACGCTGGTATACTTAAGACTCATAATTATATTAGTAATGTATATGTACTTGAATAATAGTATTGGCATTATCTAAATGCATTAGATAATTTAATATAGAATTGTAACTACTGCTAAAATGATATACTTTTTGTTGTATTTTTCCTTTTTAAAAAAAACATTTTCTGTGGGGTTTTTTTCTTTGATGGTATATATATTTTTCTCTTGTTTTGCTTTTTTATCATTAAAAAAATATTTGTTCAATTAAGCTTATTATATTTCTGTTCTCATCAGACCAGAATTTGTTCTGCAATAATTAGAGAGAAATATTGATTGACCATCCCAGGCAGTAATTTCATATGATTCAGTGTCTTTGTCTTTGCCTCATATAATGACCATCTGAGTTTACAATTATGATGAAAAAGTAACTTTGCAACCAGTGCCCGCATTTACCTCTTGGTGTACTTCAGTCCCAGCATTAGGATTAGGATTTTTCACTCAGTGACCACTCTGCTTAACAACCAAGTTATTGATCCCAGCTATGGTTTCTAAATGTGAACTATCTAAAAAATGATCATGGGTGTTATGTTTTGATACACATAATCATCTGTACAACAGTGTCTTTTTAGAGCAGGGGTGTCAAACTGGCGGCCCATGGGCTGGATGAGTCATGCATAGGCCATGCCCACCCCAGTTCCACGAAGGGAAAAAACGTGAAACATCACATGATGGCAATGTGACACCACGAGTTTGACACCCGTGTCTTAGTGTATAATGAAGTTCACTTTAGAAGTTGGGGCTTTCCGCATTCCCCACATAATTCCTTTGCAACACTGTCAACTTATTCTTAGTAATTGTTCTGTTCACCACAAATTTTCCCATTTATTAAATCTCTATACTGTAAAATGCATTGCAAGTGTATGGTAATACTGATCAATGGTTAACAGTGGTTACAGGAATTAGAATAAATGTAACAGCTACACAAATACAATTAAGTACTGTATAGGTGATTCACCATTGTGGCATGTTACTAAACTGCAAAATCTGTCTTTGATGAAAAAGAATAGAATCAGAATTAAAAATCACAAAACAGATGAATAATTTGCCATTTAATATTTATTTTAATATAGGAAAAAGATAGACTTTGAAATAGTTCTTTCTACATTTCCACCCCCTATTTGCTGCAGTGGAACTGCTTCACACAAGGCAAAAATACTACATTCATACTGTTTTATTTGGGCACCCTGTACTTAGCTGAAGCAGCGATACCCAAACTGGCAGATCTAATTTTCAAACATGAGACTCATTTCTAAAATACAACAATAAAAAGAAACAAAGATCTATTGCAAATGCATGAATTAGGATACAATGCTTCAAAACATTTCCATTTAAAGAATTGCAATACAGTGAATGTCTTCTTTAGGCCATCTTACATATGCATATCTATATTTATATATAATATAATATATATATATATATATATATATATATAAAAATCAGCACACTTTTTCAGTTCAAAAGGGATTACAGCTATGAGCTCCTCTGTTTAATTCTCTTTCTTTTAAGCGGATACTTATGTTTTGTTAACTCAGTAGTACAAGCTATCTCTGATCTACATTCTTCTTCTTTTTTTAGCTACTACAGTGAAATATAACCCACAAAATTTACATTTCACATATCTTGGTATACAAACAGTACATTGGAATATGAGCTAAGGATTGATAATCTTTTGAATTATTTCACCATCTGATAGAGCTTTCTGCATTTAGTATTTCCTAAATTAATTCTTATTTCTGAAGTTTGTCAGGAATCCAAAACTGAAAATTTTGTATTTTATATCTGGTCTAAACTCCTGTTTATTTATTTATTAATAAGATGCACATTTCACTATGTTAAAGTAATTTTAAGACTTTTATCTGGTTTCCTTGAATAAACCTCACAATTTAGAAATCCTTGAAAAAATAAACAACCACCAAATAGTTGGATTAAATTAGGGATTTTTTTTTGTTTTCCTTCTAATTTTTGTTCTTCAACTTTTAATGTAAATTTCTAATGCTACAAAATAATACAGAAAGCTCCATAAGAATTGACAAACTGTACTTAGGTTGACTTTACATTAGAGAGAAGTAAGTCATCAAACTTAGGGACAACATATATTGATAGGTGAAAGACTGTAGGGTTTCATTTTCATTTTAAAATGTGGACAGCAGCAAGATTGAAGGCCCTTGGCATTTGTAAATGCTATATTGGAGACCAAGAATAGCAACCACTTTGATACGTCCAGCAATATAAATTAATATGAAAAGTCATTTTAGTAGAGAGGGTGTTTTCCTCTTACTCATCACAAAAAAATTATGAATAATTGATGATCTACTTATATGTTTAAAAAGAAAAATACACCTGTGAAAGTTAATCTCTGTTGTACCATCAAACTTGAATTTTGATGGGAAGATTTTATTTCAATATATTGATGACCAGTAATGAAAGTTATGGGAATATATAAATAGATTTTTTTAAAAGTGCAGTTCCCTACCAAGTCAAGATCAATGAAATTAATGCTATAGATTTTCATTCCATAGAAAATGGCAATGTTATATTTTGCTGTAACAAAGTAATGGGGTAGACCAATCTTTTCTAAAAGGGCTCAGTAAACAATTCCTGTGCTCAGTCTGTTACACCCCTTTCCCCAAACAATTATCCTGTCGTGATATCCTTCAGGACCTCTTTGCTATTACAAGTAAAAAGCAAAGTTGTCAAGATCATCAGGAAATTTATCCTAAGAGAAAACTGAAGCAGTAGAAATCCAAGTATTATAGAAAAGGAGCATTTTTTCTTGCAACTACATAAATCCAAGAAACTTGTGTTTGACAAAGAAGCCTGTTAGCTGAATCTTTGTAGGAAATAACCACCAGCTTATTTTTACATGTTTACCCCTTGATGATCTGTTCCATTCTCCTCTCCCTCAAATTTCTTCATTTTATATAATGATTTCTTGTTTATGAATGTTGCTAGTTTGTTAAGAAGAATCCAGAAAGAACTATTGCATTAATGTGAAATTTGAGGATCATAAGATCCCCAAATATATTGGATGAAAGATCAAACCCAGAAATAAGAAAGTTACAAAAGCAGTTTCTAACTTCTAAGCCTCACTTTACCATAACCCTGACTCAAAAAAAAAGTTTAGAAGAGTTTACAGCAGTTGCTTTGCATTGCAATAAATGAAGGCACAAATTAAAAAGCATTAGAATTCATAGCTATGAGACCTCAAATGGTAACTTCCTTGAGGATGTGTCCACTAAAATAGCCAGTTGCGTTTATGACTAAGGGACACTAAACTCGAGTCTCAAATCTTTAAAAATATTCAGAAAGAGCACATATACCTAACAGATTTTAGAAAATTCACTGAAAACCTTTTATTAATTAGCGGACACTGAAATAATTATTAAGTTGTGGACCTATATTCTGTGCCATTGTCTGGCAATAGATTCACCTCTAGAAAAAGTAGAAATGCATAAAATAGAATCTACTGAAAATATTAAGTAAAACACATTCACACTAGTACATATATGTTTTAGACCATTAAATTGATTTTAAGCTTTTTGCTGAACTGCCTAAAATTTCTACTTCATATAGCTCACAATACGTACATTATTGATAGATAAAATGGCACCACGATATGGGGATTGTTCCCCACAATGCTAGACAGTAGCAATGGCATCAATCTTTCCTTGTCTCCTACCAAGCCAGGCAAATATAGTGTAAGAAAGACTCAAGAGATGTTTCTTATAAAACATGGATTCCTATCTAGGTTATTGGATTTTACTGTGGGAAAACTGTTGCCAAGTTGCTATGGGTTGTCAAAACAATTATTATGTGGCTGATCATTCTGGAATGCTCAGCATATATTTAAAACTGTGTCTAATGTAGGAATGTATCCCTGAATCAAAAATTCAGATATCTATAAAAATAAATCACTACCTTGATATAAAAAACCGAAACACATCTTCAGGGAATTCTATCTCATGCATATTGCCTTAGCACATCATGACTTAATTCAGTTAGTAGAACAGTTTCCAAGCATTATCATGATTAAGAATTTTGGAGAACTAAATTAAAACTATATGATTTTCTTTTCATGTTTTGTTGCTAATGTTGGTATATCAGTGTATCTGAACTGGGGCAGTGGTAAACATAATTAGCTTTTCCCTTACTAATAAATATTGATCAAGTTTTAAACTGTTTTTATCCTGTCACTATTGCTAATGTTGCAAAACAGATTCACTTGTACTTAAAAATGAGGAAACCCTGTATGTCATAGACTATTGGATAATCATGAAAATGTTGCATAAGATTGAGGGCTCTAAATATAATGTGCTTTTATTTCTTAAATATATTATTTTTCCTGCTTCTAAATAAGAATTCAAACTTGGCAGTGTCTCTTTATTAAGATCAAAAAATGGCATAGATTCTTTACTTACTTATTGATTTTAATTTAAGTTTCCCTATGCCAGATAAGGAACAAAATACAGCTACATGGACAGGCTGATCCTAGAGATACAAACATCTCAATTGCAGCAAACTTTTTAAAGAAAGAATTGGACTTGGATTAGACAATATCATGATTCACACATCACATTAAATGTATCCCTCCAATTCCATTGTGGCTTAAGGTGATGAATGAACACAGTATAAAATTAAGTAAGCTGGAACTCTATCCCCCACCTAACCTGGGAGAAAATCCCACTTCACTGTTTTGTAAAGGATAGCCTTGGTGTTTTTTTTAAAGGCCCCTATTTCAGCCAATGAAATATATTCAAACTACCACTACTTATGGTAATTGACATAGTTATATTTAGACCAAATCTGATTTGGATTTTTTTTCTTTCTCTCATGCATAGCTACACTTGTGATTGAGCTTCCTTATTGCTATATCAAGAACTTTCTTAACATTAAATATACAAGACCAACTGAAGGCCAGGAAGATTAAAGAGATGCACTAAGAAAAAATGCGATTACACAACAGGAAAACTGCATCATTAATAGGTAAATGTGACTGTCAAGACACTGGAGATGCTATAAGCTAACCTTTTTCCACCTGGAGTCTGCCAGATGGGTCTGGATTGCAGAATTTTGAGCCAACAGCAGTTTTGGCCATGAAGTATGAGAATTCTAGGAGATGGGTACCACATTTGGGAAGGCTGAGAATCCAAGAAGCTAACAAAAAAAAAAGATATGGACAACATATATTAGCTAAGGAATATGTATATGGTCACATTTGAATCATAGCTAACCACACAACCAAAGCAACTGGCAATGATCTGTAAGCAAGGAAATGTAAGTAAGAAGCCGTCAATCTGGCTGAAAATTAACTTTATTTAACTCAAGCCGTCTGATCAACAGACACAGCTTCTCACTTTATGCGGGAAGGACTAAGAACACTCCTAATGGACAAAACACAAAAACAACCTCTATATGGCACTTTCAATAAATACTTTAAAGCTTCTCAAAACTTTGTTTCAATGGAAAAGCAAAGCAACTGCTGTATCAAGCTTATTTTAACCATTATATGAATAATGCTGCGAGACAGGAAAAAGCACACTTGAAGCAACACAGCAATAATAACAGTGTATCTTCCTCACTGCTAACCATGCACCTTGACTGTTAGTGACATACAGATGTCAAGGTTTTATTTCATTTTAATGGATCTATTTTCCTTCACTTTGTTTTGCCTGAAGCCCCTGTTGTTAAGGGCAACATTATCATCCATAAAGACATAATTAGAACTTTGTTGAGGCCTCCTAATTGGTAGCCTTCTGAATAAAGCCTGCTACTCCTGTATATAAAATGATAGTCTCTGCTCAAAACATGTCTTACATCAAGACTGCAGAAATCAAAGGAGTAGCTAATAACTTGGCAAGTGACAAGTACGTCCCATGTTGTCTTAGTTTGATTCTCCACAGTGGCTTGAGGCTTTGCAGAGCAAATGTGCCAACCACTTTCTTGTATATTCTGAATGCATTAGATCACTGACTCTTCTAAGACTTTTTTTTCTTAATAGAGCCAGTGCCAAATCAAGTTTCTGAATCAATCAGATGCTTAATCTTGATATAAAACAGAGTGAAGAGCGATAAAAGACTATTCCGGAAAAAAAAAGGACAATCCATGACCAATGAAACAATTATCCTGTTTAGTCAATTGTATGCAAAATTAGTCTTTAAGATACTAGTCACTGACAAATGTTGAATAAATTCCCAAGAAGCTCGCGGCGCCTGCAGAAGCTGCAATGACGCCAAAATGGCATCTGCTCAGTGATGTAATTCAGCAAATGCCACCATAATGTACAAGTTGCAGGACACCTGAGACAAAATATATACATTATGGCATCTGTATGATTACATACATGTCACCACTTGTTCCCTAATGAAGTCCACTCCAAGTTCAGAAAAGGTGTCTGCATTTGCCATCTACAACCATTTTTGAAGTAATAAATTAACTCATCTTCCTCAAATTAATTTTAGCTTATGTAAAAGAAATCTTAACATGTTTCAGGGTTGCTCATAGTTACCTTAAATAGTTCAGAGATTCAAGATTGAGCAAAGAGAAGAAGCATCAGTATTTCTGCTTCCTTATTAGAGAGGCAGCTGTTTCCCAAGAAAAGAATAAAAAGCTCAAATTTTAATTCCCCCACCCCTTGAAAGAGATACAGAAGCATGCAGAGTGAAACTATTTTTTTTAGCACATTCATAAGCAGTCAAAAGCAACTTTCCCTCTCGTCTTACAAAGTGAAAAAGGCAGTTCGTTTTGGACACCTCTGCTTCCACATGCCCACTTAGCAAGATTAGTTTCCCTTTGCTGTTCTTTATTTGTTAGAAAAGCTTCTCTGATTTTCTCCTGCAGTTAATTAAAATGCCTTGGGGAAAAGGAATTGCACTGCAACCTTTTGTGTTTTTACCGAATGATCAAATTTACATTGCATTAACTGGGTATCAGTCAACCAACAGCTGAATAACAAATGTAAAGAAAATAATTTTCATTCATGGATTAGTATCTCCCGGGGAAAATGTTTCATAAAGGAAATGCTATACTAATAATTTTTTTACTAAAACAACATATGCTCCTACTTCCACCAATTTTTTTTTTTTTTTAAAATGGAAACAAGCCTTCACAAGTAATGATGAATATGTCCAGGAATCTTGTACAGCCAATTCCTCTAAAATTGTTTACACTTATTTACAATGGTGCTTTATAGAAAGAAAAAGAAAAGAAGTGGTAGCATTTTTTTTAAAAGATCGGGGGATTTTTTTCTTTTTTCTTCTTCTTTTTTTAAAACTCCCTTTTCATAAAAGCCAACTTACATTAAAATTTACATACTCCAAGATAACACAACTAACAAAATATATAAACTCATACAAGTAGAAAATTTTGAGGTATTTCTGGTTTGAGGTGGTCTGTGGTCATGAAGGTTTTTTTTTTTTTAGTTAAACCTCAAAAGCCACTTCATGTGTATGTGTTTTCTAAGTATTTTTTTTTTTATAAATCATTGCATGTCTTGCAAGTTAAAAAAATATTTAAATGTTATATTGGCAGCATTAGGAGTATTCACTGACTAGAGCGGATTTTATGGCGTAGTAGAATTAAGTATATTGAAAATATGCACCACTGTTAAGACGAAAAAGTTGGGTGACAGACAGTCTTCAGAGAATGAAGAATCAAGAAAAATTCAAAAGCCATCAATTTCAACCAGCTGTGGGCTGTGTTGAAAGCAAAGGAATTTGTGTAAAGTGTGAAAGTATACTTAGAAACAGAACTCTATAAAAGATGTGAGTAGCCAAGGTTGAGAAACATTGGCCTAAACTATGCCTATTCTTACCATAAATCAAAGAAAGATAGACCACTGTATTCAACTGTATTCAACTATATTCAACCGCCATGATTTTTGCCAAAGGACTGTCCAGAGAAAGGACTGTTCAAAAAAGGTATGATCACAGCTGCCATCTTGACTTTTTGTTTTTAAATACACACACATACATTCCCATAAAGTTTTGGGGACAATCGATGATGGTATTTCTGTGTGTCCTTAATGGGGAATGTTTATCTCCCTTTACAATGCCTGATAGTCATAGCAGCTAAACAGCCTTGACATTTGTCCTGCAGATATTAAGATCTAAGAGTGAGATTAAATTTTATTAGTCCTGGCTACATTTACTTGGAAATAAGTTTTACTGATTTCAATGAGTCTTCAAAGAAAGGCTGTTTCATATCATGAATGACATTGAATACCAAATACATAACTGGATACACTGGTCTTTTTAAAGCTCCAGGTTAGATGCTTGTTGTCTTTCGTATTTATTTATTTTATTATTATTATTAAAATGGCAGAAAAAATTGTTTAGGGCTGTAACCCTGCCCTGTTAGACAACTGAGGGAAATCTGCAGTTATTGAATCCTAAGACCTCATTCTCTGAACTTATAAATGTAATAGAAAGGGTTGGTTTCACTTAATGTTACCCAAGCCTGAGATATTTAAGAATCCATTTGTATCGGTGATTTTTGTGACCCAACTTTTTCTGTATGTTGTAGCAGTTTAATAAGCCTTTCTCAAAACTTGCCCATCCTCTCATTAACTGTTTTCCTGAGAAGTAAAACTCTTTAGCCACTCTTTGTCCAGATGCTGCGAAAGTCCAATGCCTCTTTACCCACCCAGCCCTAACTTCTCATTTTCAGTTCTACCATCAGAGTTAATATTCTCGACTCAATCACACCCCCACCCTCACCCACAAAAAAAGCACAGCAACACCCGTTAGACCCGTAAAAGACACATCTGCTTTTTTTTTCTTTTTTTTTAAGCTCACTGTCTAAAATAGGAAAGAAAGAAAAGGGAAAGTAGGAGGGGGTGATCCTTTTTTTTGAGAGAGATGTGATCTCATGGAACAGTCTTGATTTTGCAGCATGGATAAGAAGATGAGTAGGTTGTTTTCTTGTTGTCACTGATATTTGGTGTAAAAATTGCAGGTTAGTTAGAAGAGAAAACAGGTTGAAAAAAGAAATGAAGAGAGTTCACTGAGGTTTTGAGGTACCTGCACTGTAACTGCATTCATTAGTCGGCACCTGGATGCTTTCAGAGTGATGTCTTTCTCTAATTATTTTTTTTTTCTCTTTTCAATACAGTAGAGCAAAATGCTGGTAAATTGATTCAATCAAAACAACAACGACAACAACACAACAAATAATAACAATAGCAAGAAAAGTCAAGAAAATAGCAGCTGCATTCATGTATATGTATGCGTGTGTGTGTTGAATTCTGCAATTTTTTTTTTTTCAGAAAAAAAAAATCCACTGCTTCTTAAGAGACCAGTGGGAAAAAAAAAAGGCAAACAAGGATTTAGATACTTGACTCTTTGGGCAGCAAATCTACGTTGGTGACAGAGGTCACGATGGAAACAAGGCAGTCGAGGGTACTACCATTGGCTGATTTGCGAATCTGGGTGACGCGCTCTTCCACACAACCGGCAGACAGTCTGGCCTCCGCATCATGATCCCAGCATTCTTCAATGGTAACACACAGCTGGGCTATGCCCTGCATGCCCAAGGAGAAGGGAAGGAAGGAAGAAGGGTTTAACCAGAGAAAGTACACCGATGCAAGCTTGAGGATGGCCAGAGGTACAGGTCATATTCGTGGCACAACTGTAATGCAGTCTCCCCATTAAGGTTCTAAGTTAAGGGTCTTCAAACTTGGCAAGTTTAAGACTTGTGGACTTCAACTCCCAGAATTCCTGAGCTAACATGACTGGAGGAGGAGGAATTCTGGGAGTTGAAGTCCACAAGTCTTCAAGCCCGTCAAGTTTGGAGACCCCTGCTCTAAGTTGTTAACAGTCACAAAATGAGTCAGGCATGTGACTGACCAGATGTTACCATTATTTTTTGGGGTGATTGTTAAGCAAGTGTGGTAGACGTGAGGGCAAACGCCATGATTGTTAAACAAATGTCATGGTTGTTGAGTGAACCCATTGTTGTCCATGGTGCGGTTCTGCCAAAATAAACCCCTTAAGTGCCAGTAAAGCATGTTAAGGCATCTCATGGATGGGTCAACCAAGAGAACCAGAAGTGGCTTCTAAGAACATGAAACAGAAGATACCCTGAAACTATAAGGTAGTCCTCAAATTGCAACCTTTCATTTTGTGACCTTTTAGCAATGGGTGGAAACTAATCAAGGAGGGAAGCAACCTAGAACTAAGGAGAAATTTTCTAACAGTTAGAACAATTAATCATTGGAACAACTTGCCCCCCAAAATTGCAAATACTCCAATACCAGAAGTTTTTAAGAAGAGATTGGATAACCCTTTCTCTCTGAAGTGGTGTAGAGTTTCCTGCCTAGGAAGGGGGTTGGACTAGAAGACCTCCAAGGTCCCTTCCAACTCTCTTATTCTATTCTATTCTACCATTCAAAGTTACAATGGCAAATTCTTAAAGGCCACTGCAGCCTCCGCTTGGATTCACTTAACAACCTTCACTTACTGACGATTGCAGGGATTCACTTAAGAGAGGCAGCATGAAAGGTTGTAAATTGGGGCAAAACTCATTGAACAAGTGTCTTGCTTAGCAAATGGAAATCTGGATCGTAAGTTGAGGGCTGCTTGAATTGACCATACTGGCCCACCCAGCCATGGACATTTAGGGATTGGGGGGGGGGGGAATGCAAATATCAGGAAAGGACCTACAGGGTGTTTCAGCCAGTGGTCCTTGAACACAGGACGCATCTTCTTATGGACCACAATCTCCTGCAGCTCCTCCAGAGATGGGTGCTGACCGATTTCTTCTTCAAAAGGCAGTAAGTAGTCATCCACGGGGCCTATATATTTACAGAAGAAAGGACATTGCTACCATAGACAATCCACTGGAACCAACAGGTAGCTCCTACCCACTGGCACCTCACAGCTGTATTCAACGGTATGCGTCACACAGATATATGCCGATTACTTATGTCCATGTTTAAATGGAGTCATTTGTTTGAAGTTAATGTTGCAAATCAACCTTGTTAGCCAACTCTGCCACTCCGTAACAACGAGAGCAGGCTCCCTCGGCCCGATTCCCTCCCTTCCCCATTACAATCTGCCTGCATGTCACCTCACTTCCTCCTCAAGTAATAGCTGTGGTGTTTGTTTATTGAATTAAAATGTTTATTGAATTAAAATGTTTCTATGACTGCCCCATCTTCTAACCAACTCTAGGCAGCTGCTTAAAGAACTACTTAGTGTATTCTTATTAGTTCTCTTTATAAAGGGATAGATTGACTTAAGGACAGGACATTTTAAGAAAGATTCTCTAAAAGACAAGAGGTTGAATTGCAAGAATTTGGTAAAAAGCAGGGGAACGGAGAATTGTTCTATTTCAGATTTGTATCATTTTTACATATTTTTATTCTGAGCTGTTTTTTTTTTCTTCATTTGTTTTGTTTGTTTGTTTTAAAAGCTAAGAAATATAGTGTGTTGATATGCTACAAGCCAACACCTTTGTCAAGATCAAATCAGATAAGTTTGATTTAATTACTTTAATTGGAATTTGCAAAAAGTGAATCCCAGGAAGTTTCCTGAAAAAAATTTGGTAATAATCTCCATCCCATAACTGTCAGAAATTCAAATCTTACTTTTCTTCACTAAAGGATCATGCTGCAGTTCAGGCATGCACTGTTTGGCATTTCATTTATTAGCTTATCAATTCTCAAAGACCCTGCAGTACACATTCCAGCTGCCCCTTAAATAAATTACACTTATAAAACTTGTATATGCCAAAATCTTAATTGTTTAGATTTACTTGGTCATCCAAACAACAAAAACATCCAAATAATAAAACTAAACATAGGCTAATAAAAATATACCCTTTAATGACTTACCTTGGTCTCAGTAGTATCATGTAGATGAAGCAAAGTTTATAAAACCTTTAGCTTTTTCTAAATCTTCTTCTTTGAACAAAAGTCTATCACTTTAAGAAAGACTTTGTATAATTTAAATGTCTCAGAATGCTTACAAATTTCAACAGTTTCCATTATATGGGACTGGATAGTCTATATAGGTATGGGTGAGCTAGAGCAGAGGTCTCCAACCTTGGCAACTTTAAGACTTGTGGACTTCAACTCCCAGAATTCTCCAGCCA